ACACTTTCTTGTGTTAATATCGTCGATCCTCTCACTATAATTATAATGTGTTGGCATATTATAAAAATGTCCCTTTACACGTTTCGTCATGATGTTTGCGCGATTATTTTTCATTTGTTAATTGTTAAGTTAATACCTATACCAAAGAGAGAAATGTGAGAAAAAATGTTGATCACATCAGCATGCTGGCTAAGCAACAGGCCGCCTAGCCTCTTGTCTCTCAGCTCCTTGATAAGGCCATCTAGAAAGAAAAAAGTCACGGTACAGCGGGGGGGGGGGTACCCTGTCCTGTCTAACACCCTGGAGTATAGGTATGGTTCCACTTGTCAGTCCACAGTATTCGGCTTTCCATGTTTTCATACAGAGATCTGAGGAGGGCTGTGTATGCAGGGTCAATGTTGGTTTGATCCACTTTGTAGAACAGGCTATCATGCCAGACTTTGTCGTATGTCTTCTCTACATCGAGGAGAGCAACATAGGTAGGCCGCTTGATCTCTATTATGAGTTCCAAGGTTCACGAAGTCAGCATGCAGGAGTGGTTTCTCTGGAACCTGAATCGTAACTCATCTAGTATACCATTGCCTTGGTTTAAGGATAAGCTCGAGGAGCTTGGAGAAGGTCAGGGTCATCCCTCGATAGTTCCTAGGATCGCGGGGATCCTAATTTCCTTTTCTTTTGTGGAAGGAGAGATTCAAACCATTTTTTAATCTTCTGCTAAGTATGAGCAGTTGCGAGGTAGTAGTTGTAGATGAGCAAGATCAGGTGTATGGTGGTTTTTACTATGTATCTGAGGTGCTCTGGGCTGATGTTGTCTGGAGCACTGGCTTTGCCCTTTTTCAGTTTAGTAGTAGCTTCTTTGATGTCATGAGATGTTAATGGTGAGGGCATACATGGGTGTTGAGAACATGCTGCTAGAGGCATCTCTTTTATGATCTGGTAGGGAAAGGTCTGTTAAATATAGCTCCCAGTCCTCAATGACTTTCGTGAAGTCACTGAGGCATATTATGTTCTACCATCGTACTCTAGTGACTCTGTACCATTCGCCGAGCAATCTTTGGAGCGTTGGTTCTTGACAAGTTTGTGGAAAGTGGTTGGTTCGTTTCACAGGCGTTCTCGATACAGTTCAGGAGTTTTCTGTTGTTGTGAGCTCACGATTGCCAGAGATGACTTCGAAAGTCCTTTTTGCATAGTAGGTAGTCTGTGAAGAGTGTACCACTGCGTGGCTTATCGGCTGTTTTCCATCTCTTCCAGACTTCAAGTGCGGCATTGTACGAGTATCGACCTTCGGGCTCCATTCTGGTTTTCCATGTTTACCTATGGAAAGATAGCTGTGTGGGAGGTTGAGTGATCGAGGTCTCAATCATGGCCGTGGTAAGCTTGTAAAGCAAGTCATCCACAGATGTGTTGTCCAGCACTCTCATGTGGATTGTAGTGAACATCTGCCTTGCTGCAATTTCAAGGGATCAGTATATCGAGCCGCTACCTGTTCTTTGGATGCTTCTGTCCATTTCATTTTCAGTCTTTGCAGTTTCTGGGCGTGCTGTGGTTGTTGCATGCTTTTGTTGAGTTGTATGTGAGTTACATGGTATCACTATATAGACCATTCAATTCTTACCAGCAGGTGATCCGAAGTGTTCAGAGGTGTGTCCGGGCCAATGGTAAGATCATCAAACTGGTGGACTGATGATCTAAGCGATAGAAATCCATCTATAAACGATGTCTTTCACCATCGCCAGATCATATAGGTGAAATTTCCTTGGCTTCCAAGTTCCTCTGTTATGCTGATTAGGTCGGCATCTACCAGAAAGGTTCGAAGGGATCTTTTGTTATTAGGGTTGACTGTGTCAGCATTGAAGTCACCTGAAATGATAATGGCGTCGTCGATGTGGGTGGACAGGATGTTGGATACGATGGCAAGGCTCTCCTGGTATTCTACAAGATCAGTTTGGTCGACGCCCGATGGTAGGTTGCAGTTTAGGGCCAGGATGCACTGTTTTGACTGATAAAGGTGTATTCTAACTATGTTGATCCTGGTAGGGTGGCAGCGGTTTTACTGTAGCTGGCAACCAGCGTTTTACGAAGTAGTGTTGCTACCCCTCCTTTTCCTCGTCCTGCTCGTATGGCATTGGTATAGCTGATGCAATCTGCTGCTTTAGCTGTTACGAAGTGTTGGCTGCTAATGTCATTCAGCGTCTGTAGTCTGTTTGGTATTAAGCCAGTTTTCTTGAATAAAGAGGACTCTGGTCCGTCTTGCTGGCAATTTGATGGGCATATCTCAGATTGGACTGTATATTCCGCGTATATACATTCAGTGTTCCTATATTGTTGTTTTTATGCGGTTGGTAGTAGAAGGAGGCTTGATTGAACAAGGTCTATGATGTGGTGGTGGTTGGTTGCTACTATTCTGTATATGGTGAGATCGCTCTTTGCTTCTGGTTCTGAGAGGAGAGGTAGTGTGTATATGAGTGAGTGATATACTGCATCGGCTGCATCGAGAAGGAACGGTAACATTGAACTACACTGTATGTTTTCATTGTCATCATGTTTTTAGATGTTGCACTCTTGTAATATATAAAGATGTTTATATTTATACACCTCCCTTTTGTATCTTTCCTCATCCTCTATGTATAATCAAATATTGTATGTGTACCCTGTGAGATCAATAATAGTTTACTCAATGCCAGGGACGCACATTTTTAAAATCACATAATGTATTTTTGTACAGTAAATGTTTGTTATGTATCATTCTGTTGTGTCACGACTTTGTAATTCTTAAACCAATGGATGGGATTTCTGTTAAAATGACATATGAATAAATTTATTCATTATTAAATATATATGTTAGTATAAAGTTATGGTCTTTTAAATTAGTTTTTAGTATTGAGGAATAAATTAAGTAGAAATGTTTTTCTTGTAAATATATGCTTAGTTACCTAGGTGTACTGTTAACTATTTCTCAATATTCAACCTCTTATGGTAAAAGAAATGGATTTTCATATATATCCATATAGGCTATGTATATTTCTTGGTAGAGGCCCATTGAAATGTATCATAATGAACAGTACAGAGTTTAATTCTAAATTTAATTTTATTATTATTTGTATAATGTTTATTATTGTTATTAGTATCATTTTTTAAATATGTATTATGATTTATTATTGTTCGTAGTAGTAGTACATGTAGTAATATCAACATTATTATTTTTAATTTAAAAAATAATTAACAGTCACCGTATTTTTAAAAGTGGAGCTGAATTGGTATGATCGTATTGGCTAAATTTCACACATTTTGGGGTCTAAAATTACCTTCATAGCAATTTTAGGTTCTAAAAGGGCACTAGAAATGTCAAAGATAAGAATAAGAGCAATAACCATGGACTTTAAAGGCATTTGCGGTCTGAAAACAGAACTCAACTATCCCTTCAAGTTTGTTCTGCAGTGTTAAGATTCCTTAAAATCTACTCTCACTAACCTAAAAGTTGTATACAACAGTTAGTGGTATCTATTAATGTGTCCAGTGTCACAGAAATACTCCTTTTGAGCAATTACACACATGATTGTCATGATAATGTTTCTTTTATCTTCATATAAAACAACTTTCATTTGCTGCTTTTCGCAATCATTATAAATTATCGATTAAATCATGATCAAACATGCTTTTATGCACAAGTGCAACCGATTATGGCATCTTTTATTTCTTTAATTCGTTTTTGCATTTCATAATTTTCACATTGTTCGATTAGAAGCTCGCGCCTACGATGGTTATAAAGAAAAAACACGTTTCACCTTTTAACTGAGATATTGTCACGTTTATCATAATTTCATGGCGGCAATCTTTCAGATTGAAGAAGTTTTAGTATTCCAAAGATACACATTCAATATAGGCCTACAGTCAATACAGAAAACTCTTTTGTCTCCAAAACGAAGATATTTTCTTAAACTCACTCTACAGTATCGACATAGCACTGAGAGATAGAGAGAGAGAGAGAGAGAGACAGAGAGGGAGCGAGAGAGAAAGAGAGAGAGGGGGGGGGGGTTAGAGAGAGAGTGAAAGAGAGAGAGAGAGAGAGAGAGAGAGAGAGAGAGGAAACATAATTATACGAAGATAACATAACATATTAATAATGAAGACAATGTGGCTTCTCATGGCGGCAATCTTCCAGATTGAAGAAGTTTTAGAATTCCAAAGATACATATTCAATATAGGCCTACAGTCAATACAGCAAACTTTTTTGTCTTCAAAACGAAGATACTTTCTTAAACTCACTCTACAGTATCGACATAGCACTGAGAGAGAGAGAGAGAGAGAGGAAACATAATTATACGAAGATAACATAACATATTAATTTATGAAGACAATGTGGCTTCTGTTTCATTTTGTTGCTTCCGCTGAGACCAGTGCCGCCTGCCCTCCTTGATCAAAACATCATTATACTAGATACCACAACGATACCAAGGAGGTTTGATGAAAGAGTTTTATATCAGCCAATCATCTTCTCACACACGTACATGTTATACTTATAAATTATGTTGTCTTATGGGCATCAAATCGTGTTCACAGTCATAGCATTCCAACAATAGAGGTCTAGAAAGAGACACCTTCATGTCGAACAAATTAGTTTTTTGCAAGTAGATTCTTCCTATGACTTAGACAAAACTTTTGTTTCATAGTCAGGGGCGTACGCAGGATTTTTTCAAGGGGGGGGTTTTAAAATCTCAAAATTTCAAAATTTGACATTTTTTTACGTATGGGGGGGGGGTAAGGTCACCTTATTTAGGTTAGCCGTGGGTATAATTTTTTTTTTTTTTTTTTTTTTTTTTTTAAATAAAAAAAAAAAAAAAAAAAAAAGCCAAAGGGGGGGGGGGGGGGGGGGGGGGGGGGGGGGGGGGGGGGGGGGGGGGGGTTTAGTTTTTTTTTAGGGGGGTTTACATACATTAAAATACCAAAGGGGGGGGGGGTTTGAACCCCCAAAACACCCCCTGCGTACGCCCCTGGTCATGATCATAGGTAAAGTCATTTTCTATGTTGATTGATTTTTGTCGAAGTTTCGGTAGTAAAGTTTTCGCCCTAGGTCCCAGAACGAAAGACTGAGGACAGTTTGTGGTGCCAGGCGAAACCACGAGGCGGACCAGCCCTTGTAGAAGCCCACTAGACCTTCTTTCCTCCAGATCTTTGTAGCACAGTCCCACACACCTCGGTAGTAAAGTCCTTTTCCGCGTTCGTCTACGCCTTGGTTGTACATCCGGGTACTGATGACGTCTAAGGGTGTCATGACGACGACGTTAGCGGCACCAGCCACCATGCTGGCGATGATCGGAATAAAAAGGCTTCCGGGACGAAAAACCTGTGATGGGAAAACCAACAAAATATTAAGATGTTCGAAGACACGAATGATATTAAGCACATTACAGAACGATTCCTAAATAAGATACCCAAAATCATGTTTGCTTCATGAAAACAGTACTGCCTACAATTGTTGATTCGATAAGATTATGGTCTTGCATTATGCTCTGGGCTCATAGTTACGGTGGATTCGAAGACACCCTACCCTTTAAATCACCAATGGTTTGCCAACCCTTGATGGTTACTAACCAGATCTTTGCCTCTGGATCATATGCTCATTCTTTTTTAATAACTTCTCGGACAACTACACCTAAATAATCCCTTCACCTAAGTTAGTTATGGGTTTTTAATACACCCCCTTTTTGTCAAGCCGTTGAAACCCTCAACCATCACATACGTAATTATATAAAAGGTGTATGCATTAGCTAGACGACTGTAGAATCCATCGACATAGCAATTGGAAAGTTATGTGCAGGGCTCTTGTTGCACGAATCACAGCGACAGTGTGTTTTATTGACGTTTCAAGTAAGAATCCACCTAACAGGATCCTTTAATGATGGAACCCATCTTGCGTCGTTTATTTCGAAGGTTTCTTTCGATATGCGTACATCACGAACACTTGATTTATTCTCACATTGACTAGCTGTCATGGCTTGTTAGCCTACCTCTGTTTTTGTGACGAAATCCTTAGTCTGAGAGAAAGCAGTAAGTTGTGCTACCGAGCCGATCCCGTTCCTCATCGTTTGTGCGTTGACACCTCGCCATAAACCTTTCACCCCGCCCTCTACGTAGATCCTCTTCAAACCTTGCAGCCAACCTGAGTGCGTATGTTGATGTCCCACGGCTATGACTTCACGGGACTGGGATTGCATTTGCGTCTTTATCTGTATTCATGGACGGAAAAGCATAACATAATATGTGTAAAAGAAAAATATTGGCACGAAGCCGTGCTTCGAAAACGCAATCATCATAGATCAGAACATTATTTTGCGGTGGAGGTGGTTTTGATGATGATGAACTTTAATATTATGTCGCCACATTTCTTTTATAGTAAACTCGAAAGTGCCTGTAGTATACATTTATACATTGATTCGGGCATGATCTAAAATGTTTTAAGATTAACCCAATTTCCAGAAGAAAGGAAGGTAGGTATAGTTCCACATGGGAGAGGCAACACAGAGCCTTCTATTCCCTTCCGATCTGTCAAAGAGGACAGAAGGGGTCATAATGAGACAAATATGGAGCAGTTCGATGAGAAAACTCTGAGGATCTCGTATACATTAATATATAAAAAAAAAGAGAGCTTGGTGTTTATTGCCGTGACGGTCAGCAACAAAATTTGTGGCTGCTTCTTAACTTCACTAATTTTGTTTAAAGCTTTTCCTCTGGCCAATGTTGTCTAATGAACATGTAAAACCCTCCCTTTTCATGGAGTTGTGATTCTGCGTTGGCGAAAATAAACTGAATACACTTCATCACAAAACAATTGCTGCTATAATTATAATCAAGAAAGGATAACAACTTATTTTTATGGTAGCTGGAGATCTAAGAGTGTCTAAACTTACAAGGTACATGGGGCTGCTGACGAAAGCTCCAGCGTAGCCTGCAATTCCTGCGGCCAGCATCGTCTTGGGTAAACTAGTCTGCCCAGCTTTGTTCTTCGTTAGTCCCATGTCGATTAGACTCTGGTAGGTTCCAAGACGTGTCCCATTCTGCAGTATCTGGTAGATGATGGCTGGAGGCAGCCCAGCCTGCAGGGCCAGGAGACCATCATAGCGACCGATGGTATAGAAGGCATGGAAGACATTCCTGTAGTGACGCTGGTAGGTGCCCCATGCCTTCAGCTCTCCCTGCAGCTGGAACCTAGTCTTGACGACTTCTAGTGGGTTGGTGAACAGGACTGCACAGGCAGCTGCAGCGCCCCCAAGGCCAAACTCTATCACATCAATAGGCATTTCAGGCGACTCCTTGAACTGTCTTCGGGTCCTTCATTCAATGTTTCCTTCATTCTTCTGAGGGCCTCAATGAAGGTGGCAGACCTGTTGACGGAAGGATACATCGGCACGTAGTACGTCACAAAGAAGTTTGTTGTAAAGATATAAAGCCGAGTATACCGGGCAGAAGAGGTCGTGCAATTACATTAAGAATAAAACTGTCTGGAAGTAATTAGGAAATGTTAATCGTGCATGCGATAAAAAGAAACTTACTCAATCTTGCGGAAAATCATAAACACTGCACACAGACATTAATTTCGTATAAGGGACTACACACAATTATTGTTTCATATTCCACGAGTAAGAGGGTATTTGAAGAGCAATTCTTTTCAAAGGAGATTTCTATCATGATCATCCCAACTGACGAACATCAACTACGACAAATAAAAAATTACTTTTTAAATCGATTATAACTCAATTTTGTCTGGCTCACTCTTGATGCCAAGGAAATATTAACGAATAAAAAGATTTTTTTTATCCCAAATGGCTATAGCAAGGGATCATCACGCAAGAGTATGCCTTGACTCGCATTCATTATTTTGTTCCCGTTTTACGACTCATTATCATTTTAGTTTTGTATGTTATGACAGGCTGTCATAACATACAGAACTAAAATGATAATGAGTCGTAAAAACTATATCAGCTATATTTCCCTGTTCCACTCAATACAATACCTTCCTGTGTAACGCAAAAACTTGTCAGAAAAAATTTCAAAGCAGGTAAAATTCCCGAAATACGAGTTGAGCACAATCCAAGCGAGAGATCTAGGCGAACGATTGTTTGATGAGGCTTATAGCAATTTTATCATACTTATAACAGTGTAAAAAAATATGTAATTCGACTTTTTCCCCCTTACCTAAGTCAATTGGCCGAGCACAGCAACATCATGGCATTTCCAGTAAAATGTTTGCTACACAAACCTTGATACAGTGTGATACCGGCAAAGATAATCCTCCGACCATATAGGGGAAATCAACAAACAAATACTGCTATATACTCTTATATAGTTCAGAGTCCACATAATAGCTTATGATATCTCCTGGGATCATTCGAATCTCCCCTTTGTCATGTTTGTGAGTGTTATGAAGACCTGATCTGACTCATAAGATTATGTTCACTAGTTCGAGCGTATAGGCCTAGCGTATACGCTCCATGAAACTCCTCTTTAGCATGTTTATGGGCTTAATTGCGACTATAGTGATAGAAAGATAATTTAACATGGCCATCCAAAGTCTAATACAATATATTACGTGTATATTTTGTGTTTTCGTGTATTTCTCGCTTCTCTTCTATCATTGATCTTGCCTTCACATTTCGGCAGCTTAAGTCTACATACACAGATCCTTGTTAGAGACCAACGATTTAAATAATAAATCGAGAGTCGCATATCGTCCTTCCAGACATACTAGGTTGCGTAAAAGAGTCGAAAAACCCAAGTTTTTGAAATCGGCGGGGCACTTTGGCCTTGACACCTAAAAGTCAATGATAGCAACAAAATAATAAGACGAGTAAATGATGTCTATTTTATCGATTAATATCATTGATATGATAACTCGCTCTTATCTCTGGTCTCCCTGTTCCCCCTCTCACATATCATCTCTTCCACCACTTCATGTATCCCTCTTCTTTGCTCTGTCTAAACCTATCAATCTCTGTTTGTCTGTCTGTCTCTCTCTCCTTCTCTCTCTATTTGTCTCCAACCCCCCCCCCCCCCCCTCTCTCTCTCTCACTCTCTCCCTTCCTCTCTCGTTCTCTCTCTCTGTGTCTCTCTGTGTGTCTCTCTCTGTGTCTCTATGTGTGCCTCTCTGTCTCTCTATGTGTCTCTCTGTGTCTTTCTGTCTCTCTCTCTGTCTATCTGTCTCTCTACCCCCCCCCCCCCCATCGTCTGCCCACATCCTTCCCCTCATTCTTCCCTCTTCACCTTTTCTCTCATTACCCCCTTCTCAAATACCTCTTCCTGGAATTTAACAACAAACCATTGTAAATATCATATCTTTGCAGAATACATATACACCAAAATTTATATTTGACAACCACATTGATATTATCAGTAAAACTATTTATTTTGTTTACCAATATTTACATGTATTATATTGCTTTTTTCAATACTGTGTACATCATGGCAGAACATATAAAATATAATTTGATCTTAACATAATAAATATTCATCAAAACCTTCACACTTTCATCAATATACATTGATTAAATATTAGTGCTAATAAGTTAATACACTAGATTACATTATGGAATTTAACATGAATACTAAATTATTCACAGTACGTAATAAAAAGTCAATACTGAAATTGCAAGGCTTATAAGAATGCATTGCAAATCTGCACATGCTTTCCTCATGGAATTTGATATTGTGCTCAACTCCATCAATTGAATAGAAATCATTGGGAAAATGTATTGATTTCATAATAAACGCTTGACATTTTACAGATATACATGTAAGAAAATCTGCCTCAACTTGAGTATTAAGTAGTAAAGTGATTACTAAAATCCCAAAGTCCCTGCCACAGCAATATTATCCTTCGGGTTTGGCAAAACATTTAATCTACATTTGCAAGACTCGACCCGATGAGTTAAATGGGTACCCGGCAGGAACTTATTTCTTGAAATTCTACTGTACCTTTACAAGCAGGAGTGTCCAGTGTGACAGACAGGAGCAGTACACAGGAATATACTACTATTGTTATCATAATCATGTTATTAATAAACTTACATCATTCTGCCTGAATCAAGTATTGTTAAAGGTTTTAAAAACAATTACCATATGGAGTTTTGTCATCTTTAGAAATACCCTGATAAAAGTAAAGTTATGATAAGATATTATATAAATGCAAAATATAAAAGCATTCTGATTGGCAAGAAAGAAATTTCAAAGTCTTCTTACATCTAGCTTTTTGCCAAGGAGGGGGGGGGGGGGGGGGTTGACCAATTATTTTTTCTCCAAAAATGGTGCCGTATTACTGTTTTACTTCTTTTCTTTTTTTTTCACTTGGCCGCCCAAAGGGGGGGGGGGGTTTAAACCGCCAAAACACCCCCCCCCCTCCCTAGATCCGCCCCTGGACAGGATTTCTTTCTAGCTAACAACTACATGTACTGAACAATACATTTTCATCTTTCCAGTATGTCAAATTCATATTTAGATTTTTGGTCTTTATAAATTACAAATAATCACAGATATGACATGTACATTAAATGGGTAGTCGACACACTTGTTTTGGTCGTTGCTTTGAAGAAAAACAGAAATATGAGAGAAGAGATCAATGAAAGTTTGATTACAATCTGCCAAAAAACGATATAATGAATTTAAGAAACTGTAATGCTGTGACACATCTTTAGATGTTCTCTCCCATTTGTTCTGTGCATACATTTCATACATTTTCCATTTTTTTCCTAGTTCATGAAAGAAAAGTTGTTTCATACAGGGATTGTATACAAATATAATTATGTGCAATCAACAAATAAAGGATGTGTGTAACTATGAGTAAATATGATCATTTTTTTTACTACGGATCAAATGGCAGAGGACCATGTGAAATATGTCACAGAGTTGCCAATTTGTGATTGCAGTTCTATGCTTGTCATCCATATCAAAAACATATTAGGCTTCCATTGTTAGCTCTGTCACAACAATTTCAAATATTGAATTTTAAATGTCAAATTCAAGTAACAGAGCACCGTATAAACATCAAAAATATCTACTCTAGCAAGTATGATGAATGAATGAAAGCACAAACCAATATTCCCTTTACATGTATCTATCAAGACATATACTCACAGTTTATACTCATATTGTTTATTGAACCTTGTCAATTACGATCTCTTGATACATTATCCTCGAACAGCCAACAAGTCCTTTGCATACTTGTACAATATTCTTGCCTGGTCTCAAAATATTAGACTAAAAACTTGTGAGGGGCTAGACTAAACCATCTTGTTCGTCATCTAGTAAAAGATTCCTGGACATGTTTGTACACTGTACAAGATCCTTGCCTGGGCCCAAAATACTAGACTAAGAACATGTGAGGTGCTAGTCTAAGCCCCCTTGTTCATCAGCTAGTAAACGAGTCCTGGATATTCTTGTACAAGATTCTCGTCTGGTCCCAGAAGACTAGACTAAGAACTGTGTGGGGTGCTAGTCTAAACCATGACGCAGACCAACCCTTGTAGAACCCGAGTGGTCCCTCCTTCATTAGAACCTTCAAGAAACAGTCCAGGAATCCCCGGTAGTAAAGACCACGCCCTTTCCCATCTAAGCCTTGGTTGTACAGACGAGTGCTTATCACATCGAATGGTGTCATGAAGACTACGACGGCTACACCACTGATCATACTGGCAGTTATGGGTACGAGGATGCTTTCATCTCGGAAAACCTGAGAAAAAAAGATAGAGACAAACATTATTCACAAAAATATGTACCAGTACATTATACATGTACCTGCATAATCTAAAAACATGAGGGCAAAATAAAAGGGCAAAAGCATTGTGCACTCCACATTTCTGTATCTCACAACAAACTGATACGTACCTGTATATAACTAGACTAAGGGGCGATTAGTGAATTCAAGTGGTTTATTGCGTCATACATGTACATGCAAATGAGGCTTAAAACAAAGGGGGAATTCTGGGTAGGGTGAAATATGTGTGACTTTGTGAGTATTTCTATCCATAGAAAAAATGCGCCCTGAAAAATTATGGCTCTTCAAATGCTCTCTTACTCAAAATATAACGAGTAAAGCTGAAATATTTGGACCAAACTTTTAATCCACATATTTGTGTAGGCCCATATGCACATTTCTGTGTACAGTGCATGTGATTGTTAGCATGACTGGGTCAATATCTTACCATTTTGATAATTTCGATCCTCAACATCACAGTACACACTTCTTCTGTGTTACTCAATGAATAGTTTACAATTGCTTCCCCAGTTTCTTTCACAATTCAAGAATCAGGTCGGCTCTTTATATTCCCTACACACTTGATTCAAGCCATGGAAGATGGCGTTATCAACAAACTCTTTAATTATGCTCAACTGCCCCGCCAGGCTTCCTAATTTAATGATCAAGCCATCTTCGGCTGGAAGCAAGTAAGTAGGGGGAGGTAGCGTTGGTGTGGTGGAAATGAAAATTAAATAGGCCAGATTCTGGACTATCAGATGACCAGAACTCAGCTTTATATTTAACAACCTCTCAGCTTGTCAAGTCATCTTACCTTGCTATCTTTGATAAATTCTTTTGTTGCACTGAACGTAGAGAGCTGGGCTGCTGATCCTACCGTAACCCTGGCAATGGCTGCTGACACGCCCCTCCACAACCCAAAGAATCCCCCATCGGAGTATATAAGGCGGAGCCCGTGGGTCATGCCGTGATGAGTGTGCTGGTGACCTACTGCGATGGCCTGGTGAGACCGAGCTTGAAGTTGGGTTTTTATCTGTCAGAAATGAAAACAACGATTCATTACACATTATACACTTTCAGTAACATACTTCTACTTCTAAGTCGGTACTTGACAGGATCCATCAGTCAGGATATAATGTCAAGGTTGAAATGTCTGGCAAAGTGCTCTTGTGCAGTGCAGTCAGTTGGTGCATTATGTACAAAGTGCAGGTGCAAGTAAAAACAATTCTCAGCCATCGATGGGTCCAGCTATAGCTGGTTGATTAGAGATAGTTGCACCAGTGGAAGTCGCTTCTGGTAAATAATTTCATGGAGCTCGAAATGGTTTCATCTCATAGAGATTATTAATGTTAGTGAGAGGAACTACTGTATTTGGAGCTCCATGATTCAACCTATGAGCACACTCACGTATAGACCGAATTTTCCGTCTCTTTCGTTCGTTAGCCTCTTATTGGGGTAGGGTCGGCTCTCTCTTTAGAGACGGAAACCGTCTATACACATTCCCTTGATAACGCCACGGCCATTTCAGGTCGTAGCGTTTTGCCCCCAAAATCCCCCAAAATGTCATTTTACCTCGTGCATATCCACATGTAAATTAGGCCTAGGCTATAATACATCGGTTCCACTTAACAACTTGACTGAAATAATCAGTTTAATAGTCCCTTTTTAGGAAATTATGGGTCAAAATCGAAATCCATTTTGAAAATCTCTTTCAACATGGATTTCGATTTTGACCCATAAATTCCTAAAAAGGGACTATTAAACTGATTATTTCAGTCAAGTTGGTAAGTGGAAATGATTTATTATAGCCTAGGCCTAATTTACAATATAACATGCATGAGGTAAAATGACATTTTGGGGAATTTTGGGGGCAAAACGCTACGACCTGAAATGGCCGTGGCGTTATCAAGGGAATGTGTATAGACGGTTTCCGTCTCTAAAGAGAGAGCCGGCCGACCCTACACCAATAAGAGGCTAACGAACGAAAGAGACGGAAAATTCGGTCTAACTCACGTACAGTATTGCTTGAAATAAAGTAGACACATTACCACCAAGTCACACCAAGGTCTATGGGATAACGCATGCACTGATGCAGTCACGCGTGACACAGTGTGAGACTGTCAACTTTATTCCAAGCAATACTGTATGCATGTGTCACAACTAATTCTCTCGGTACGCTAGGGTCAACTACTAGGTGGATGAAATGCAAGAGAACAAGGCTATCGCATAAGGGAGGGTGTGGTTTCCCAATCTCCATGCCCCAATCTCCCTTTATTCCTCCTGCTTCCTTCATTTTATTGATCGCTTTTGTTTGTGTACTTTTTGTGCAATTTTTTGTGTACTCCTCAAACTCAAATATTACTTACAAGGTAGAAAGGACTACCGACGCAAGCCCCACAGCATCCAGCAAATGCCCCCGCAGCTACGGCTCGGGGGTAGCTCAGTTCTCCCTTCGAGTTCTTCGTAAGTCCCATGTTCACAAGACACTGGTATGTCCCTAACCTTGCTCCGTTCATGAAGAGTTGATACCAAAGAGCAGGAACAAGTCCTTTCTGTAGAGCCAGCAGGCCATCAACACGTGCAATGGTGTAAAATGCGTGGAAAACGTTGCGGTAGTGGCGTTGATATGTCCCGCGTGCTTTTAGTTCACCCTGTAACTGCATGCGAGTTTTGACCACTTCCAGCGGGTTGGTAAACAGACCGGCGCCGCACGTTGCGATCCCGCCCAAGAAAAACTCGACCGCGTTTGAAGGCATTGTTTATGGCTTCGAGAGGTTGAAAGAGATGAGTTTACAAAACAGTTCAATTCGGGTGATAATTAATAGTTAACTGATGTGATCCATGCTGGTACACGTTCCGTAAAAATCTCCGTAAAACACGTATTTTATGAATACCGGTAACAGCAAACAGGCATGAACAGTATGACTCACGCTACATACGTACGTAAACATCATGTAACATAAGTAGTCTTAACCAAGTATATTTTTTTAAATCCATGTACCTAAATGCAAAATTAGTTTTTCACAAACCTGTTTACCTTGATAGTTCATGAATGTTCATTAAATATTTTAATTAAATTTTATATATGAAAATGTCTGCAGTATTATCTTGTCTACTGGATAAATGACTGGATAAATATTACAACTTAGCATTGAAGTAGGCAACGGACAGTCATGGTCGATTGGCCAATGGCATGCTCGAATTTTCGACGAGCCTCTGACACACCCCCGACAAGCACTCGAGAAAAACATCAAACAGCTTTCGAAACCCAGTAGTGAAAGAACGTCTAAAGAGTCATAACTGTATTATTTGTTTTATGAATTATGAATTATGAAATGAAGTATGAAATATGTAAATCCATACAGTGTGAACTTTGGGATAATAGTCAATCAGAATCTCGGATTACAAAAAAAGAATATCTGTTGATTATCTAATTTTGATTAACTTGGTGAATTTGTATTTGTTTACATTATAAGTACATGTTTGATTTTTTTTTCTTCTTCCTTCTTCTTATTCTTTAATCTTCATAGTTTTACATGCCAATTAGGGTCTCCTTTGTTTGATTTGATTCTTTTATGTTGCGTATATGTTTCGGTTTTGTTATTTTTTGTTATAGGCTTTTGTTTGAATTATAATTTGTATATTTGTATTAAGTTCACACAGATTTTCTGAAAAACAGCCGTTTAAGCTGAGAGAGTTACCGTGTTTAAATAAATATATGAAATGAAATGACATCATCAACATCATCTCCAATCCATTACAATCCTGGAATTTGTAGAGCGGCACTTTCTAGTTGCTTATAAAAAATAAAGTATCCATAATAATCAAAATCTCTCCCGCTTTTTTTTCTTTCTTCTTCTTCTTCTTCTTCTTCTTCTTCTTCTTCTTCTTTTCTTCTTCTTCTTCTTCTTCTTCTTCTTCTTTTCTTCTTCTTCTTCTTCTTCTTCTTCTTCTTCTTCTTCTTCTTCTTCTTCTTCTTCTTCTTCTTCTTCTTCTTCTTCTTCTTCTTCTTCTTCTTCTTCTTTTTTTGTCTTCTCCTTCTTTTCCTTCTTTTCTGTTGTTATTTTTTAGAACTTGGAATTTTGCAAGCCATGATAAAAAATAATCTGGTAAATGACATTTTTGTTTGAAGGCACACTTAGTTACTCTCTCAATTTTAATTTCTAAAACACATGTTAGAGGTATTTTTGTCTTAGCTGAACACTACACTGACAAATCCGAGATTCTCTGGCCACTACTAATATGTTATGCCTGATGGAGGTTTCAGGCGTCGCCAAAGGGGGGGGGGGGGGTGCGACACCCCCCCCCCCCCACCTGTCAGGATATTGTCGGTAAAATTGCGCTGCCGTCGGGAAAAAGAGAAAAGGGGGAGGGGAAAAAAGAGAGGGAAAAAAAGAGGGGGGAAAAAAGAGGGGGAAAAAAGAGAGGGAAAGGGAAAGAAAAGAAAAAGAAAAGAAAGAAAGAAAAAGAAAGGAAAGATAGGAAAAAAAGAGAAGAAAGAAAGAGAAAAAAGAAAAAGAGGGAGGAGAGGAAAGAAAGGAAAAGAAAGAAAAGAAAGAAAAGGAAAAAAAAAGAAGAAAAAAAGTGAAAGGGAAACAAAAGAAACGGTGAAAGAGAGGAGAGAGAGGGGAGGTAAGAGTCTGAGAGAGAGGAGTGGGAGTAACAGAGAGAAGGGGGTTGTTGGATGGAGTCGTCTAGTCGAGGGAGCAAGAAAGACACGGGTAAATATGTTGCTGTGTCGGGTCAGCTGTATTGGTATTCTTGCTCGATTCTCGTGTACTATATCAATGCAGAAGTTTGAAGTCGGTGAGATGCATTATTGTCGGTCGGCCGACAAGCTTTTTTCCCCTACGAACTCTGACTTCTTATCCGCTGTCACGACTTCGAGAGTGACTACAACTACAATACTTGTATTTTCTCGAAGTTTCACTTTCCTATAATATCACCTAAAGAAATAAGAGGTTTAAAATTTTCGGGGAAACTAAATTCAAACAAGGTTTAAGAGTCAACAACGGTACGACGAATCGTCTTCCTTTCGTTATATTGTGATGAAACGCCAAAAATGCCGCGCTTCGCGCGGAAGGGGAAACTTCATTTTAATAGACGAGTCGAGAACGGTACAACAAATCGTCTTCTTTCTCTAATAATGTAAGGAAACGTCAAAGCTTCCGCGCTTCGCGCGAGAGTGGGAAACTGAATTCAGACAAATAGGGCTTATTAAAGGTCGAAAACGGTGCAACAAATCGTGTTCTTTCCCTTATAATTTGAGGAAACGTCAAAGCTACCGCGCTTCGCGCGAGAGTGGGAAACTGAATTCAGACAAATAGGGCTTATTAAAAGTCGAAAACGGTACAACGAATCGTGTTCTTTCTCTAATAATTTGAGGAAACGTCAAAACTTTCGCGCTTCGCGCGGAAGGGGAAAACTTCATTTAGACGAGTCAGGAACGGTACGACGAATCGTCCTCTTTCTCTATATTGTGATGAAACGCCAAAAATTCCGCGCTTCGCGCGAGAGAGGGAAACTGAATTCAGAAAAAATGATTAGGGCTTATTTAGGGTCGAAAACGGTACAACGAATCGTGTTCTTTCTCTAATAATTTGAGGAAACGTCAAAACATTCGCGCTTCGCGCGAGAGGGGGAAACTGAATTCAGATGAATAGCTAAAGACCAGTTATGGTCATGCGATTGCATTGTGAAAGAAACGTTGTGGAATCGATCAGAAAAGGTTGATCATCTAGCATCTGCAAGGTTCTGGAATCATCAAAATGATAAGAAATTTGACCCATTCTTCGTAAAGTTACAAGCACTATACACAGAAATATGTATATGGGACTACCCTATATCTCTCACAGACCATGAGAGAAACAAATTTACCAAATATATGAGTTAGTAGGCGGTTTCCCGGCAAATTTTTTATCATCATGTATTAGTCAAAACATATTCTTTCACATGATTGGTAATGAGAGCTTCCATTTCATTTTTTGAAATTGGGGCGTTTCCAATACTGGTCTTTACCTTTAATAAGATTCGAAAACGGTACGAGGAATCGTCTTCCTTACTCTATATTGTGATGAAACGCCAAAAATTCCGCGCTTGGCGCGGGAGGGGGAAACTGAATTCAGACAAAATTAATAGAGCTTATTTAGAGTAAAAAAAGGGTACAACGAATCGTGTTCTTTCTCTAATAATTTGAGGAAACGTCAAAGCATTCGCGCTTCGCGCGAGAGGGGGAAACTGAATTCAGATGAATAGGGCTTAATAAGATTCGAAAACGGTACGAGGAATCGTCTTCCTTTCTCTATATTGTGATGAAACACCAAAAATTCCGCGCTTCGCGCGGGAGGGGGAAACTGAATTCAGACAAAATTAATAGGGCTTATTTAGAGTCGAAAACGGTACGACGAATCGTCTTCTTTCTCTGATAATTTAAGGAAACGTCAAAGCTTCCGCGCTTCGCGCGAGAGGGGGAAACTGAATTCAGACAAAATTAATAGGGCTTATTTAGAGTCGAAAACGGTACGACGAATCGTCTTCTTTCTCTAATAATTTAATGAAACGTCAAAACTTCGGCGCTTCGCGCGGGAGTGGGAAGCTTCATTCAGATAAGGATTAAGAGTCGAGAACAGTACACCGAATCGTCTGCTTTTTCTCATAATTTAATGAAACGTCAAAGCTTCCGCGCTTCGCGCGAGAGGGGGGGGGGGGAACTTAAGAGTTGAGAACGTTACAGCAAATCGTCTTATTTTTTTAAATAATTTAATGAAACGTCAAAGCTTTCACGCTTTGCGCGGGAGGGGGGGGGGAACTTCATTCAGCCAAGGATTACCAGTCGAAAACGGTACAATTAATCGTCTTCTTTTCCTAATAATTTAAGGAAATGTCTAAGCTTCCGCGCGTCGCGCGGGAGGCCCATCACCCACACCCCCTAATGAGCGCGCTTTTAAGTGATTTCCTTGCTCACTACCGCACCTCCTATAAGATCTTAGCTCCGTGCCTGCATTAAAATATATAGCTATGGTGCTGACTAAATTGAAGAAATAATTCGTATATTTATGTCGTCGAGGAAAATGACCATTTTGCGCATATGCAAGTACTATAGATAATCCATAGGAAAAACAATTTAGCCTTCGGCCCCAGGTTTATAGGGTTGAATTTGTAGATATTGGACATTTTATTTTGTCGGTAATTGGTGGCTAGTTCTGTCGGCAATCGTTGGCCTCTACCCCCCCCCCCCCCCCCCCCCCCCCCCCCCCCCCCCCCCCCCACTGAAAAAGGTCTAGCGACGCCCCTGGGTGCACCCACTTAAAAACTGCATGGGGGGGTTGAAAAGAAAGGAAGGGAGTGGAGGAAAAGGGGAAAGTGAAAAGAAGATGATAAGAGTCCCCCCCCCCCAAATCCCTTATCATTTGCATTGTTTTCTTAAAAGCTCTGGCCCTATCCTCCTATTCAATGGCTGAGCCTAGACCAAGATGCTGCCAACATGGTCCTCAAACTAGTGACACTTGATTGTTAGAGAGATCCATTTAAGCCATAGCGCCATCTATCAATAGCTGACTTGAACATGTAGCAGAAATTATCAGCGTGTCTGGCTTTGTGGCTATAACCGGGATCTTTATGGCGCGTATTTTCGTGGAAATTATATCTAATTCAGTGTGAGTACGTAGGATCTATTGAGAATTCTTAAAAGTAATATTATCTGGGAATCTGCAGTCATCTCTTTGCGAGACAGAAATGCTTGGAAACCTTTTTGCAGCTACGTAAAGACTTCGCGAGTGAACTTTTAGAACAGTGGAGTGCACGCGTGCACCCCCGAAGTTTCCCGGAGGAATAACACTCGCATTTCGACAGTGCGACCCGCACCTGCTGCTGTGTACGTACCGTACATTACACAGGTTGTGTGTTGATTCTATTGTCTTGTGTGCGGTGCAGTAAACTTGGTAA